AGGACAGGAATCTCCACTCTCACCACTGTTATTTAACATAGTACTGCAAGTCCTAGTCATAGTGGTCAGACAACAAAAAGAAATAAAACGCACCCAAATCAGCAAGGAAGTCAAACTTTCACCATTTGCAGATGGCATGATACTCTATATGAAAACCTGAAAGACTCCAACAAAAAAATTGTTAGAACTGACGCAATTCAGTAAAGTTACAGAATATAAAATCAACGTACAGAAATTGGTTGCACCTCTACAGACCAATAATGAAGCAGCAGAAAGAGAAATCAAGGAATCAATCCTATTTACAATTGCACCAAAAACCACAAGATACCTAGGAATAAATTTAACCAAAGAGGTGAAAGACTGGTACTCTAAAAACTATAAAATGCCGATGAAAGAAATTGGAGATGACATAATAAAATGGATAGACATTCCATGCTCATGGATTGGAGAACGAATATTGTTAAAATGTCTATACTACCCAAAGCAATCTACAATCATTGTCAAAATACCATCAGCATTTTTCACAGAGCTAGAACAATCCTAAAATTTGTATGGAACCACAGAAGACCCTAAATAGCCAAAGCGACCTTGAAAAAGAAAAGCAAAGCTGGAGGATTGCAATCCCAGGCTTCGAGTTATGTTACAAAGCCGTATTGATGAAAACAGTATGGAACTGGCACAAAATAGACACATAGATCAATAGAACAGAATAGAAAACCCAGAAATGAACCCACAACTATATGGTCAATTAATCTTCAACAAAGCAGTAAAGAACATTCAATTGGAAAAAGAGAGTCTCTTCCACAAATGGTGTTGGGAAAACTGGACAGAAACATGCAAAAGAATGAAACTGGACCACTTTCTTACACCAGATGTAAAAATAAATTCAAAAAGGATTAAAGACTAAATGTGAAACAGGAAACCATTAAAATCCTAGAGTAGAACACAGGCAATAACCACTTTGACACTGGCCATACCAATTTCTTTCTACATATGTCTCCTGAGGCAAGGGAAACAAAAGCAAAAATTGAACTATTGAGGCTGCATCGAAATAAAAAGATTCTGCACAGCAAAGGAAACAGTCAACAAAACAAAAGGCAACCCACAGAATGGGAGAAGATATTTGCAAATAACATACCTGAGAAAAGGTTAGTATCCAAAATCTATAAAGAACTTATCAAACTCAACACCCAAAAAATGAGTAATCCAATTTAAAAAATGAGCAGTAGACATCACTGATCATCAGGGAAATGCAAATCAAAACTACAATGAGATACCATATCACACTTGTCAGAATGGCTGAAATCAACAACACAAGAAACAACAGGATGTGGAGAAAAAGGAACTCTCTAGCACTACTGGTGGGAATGCAAATTGGTGCAGCCAGCCTGGAAAACAGTATGGAGGTTCCTCTTCTATTTAAATTTAAAATAGAACTACCTAAATAGAACTACTTATATTTAAAAATAGAACTACCCTATGATCTAGCAATTGTACTACTAGTTATTTACCCAAAGAATTCAAAAATACTAATTCAAAGGGATACAAGCACCCTGATGTTTATAGCAGCATTATCTACAATAGCCAAATTATGGAAATAACCCAAATGTTCACAGACTGATGAATGGATAAATAATGTGATACACACACACACACACAAAATCAAATATTACTCAGCCATAAAAAAGAATGAAATCTTGCCATTTGCAACATCATGGATAGAGCTAGAAAGTATTATGCTAAGCGAAGTAAGTCAGTCAGAGAAAGACAAATACCATATAATTTCACTCATATGTGGAATTTAAGAAACAAAACAAACAATCATGGGGTGGGGAAGAGAGAGAGACAAACCAAGAAATAGACTCTTAACTATAGAGAACAAACTGATGGTTACCAGAGGGGAGGCAGGTTGGGGGACAGGTGAAATAGATGATGGAGATTAAGGACTGCAGTTGTGATGAGCACTGGGTGATGTAAATGGAAGTGATGAATCACTATATTGTACACCTGAAACTAATATTACACTGTATGTTCACTAACTGGAATTTAAGTAAAAACTTAAAAAAAAAAATGACTTAATCTTCTTAAAGTATTTATAAGCAGACATGGAAGAATGGTAGCATACAGATAAAAGTGATCACAAGCTGAAGTCCATGTTTACAGTGTTATGGAAGGAATAAAAAAGGATAAAAAAATGTTCTGAGGCCAGAAGCAGAGGTGGCCAAGGAGTATGCAGGTCAGCTGCTATAAAACCATCAGTGAGAGTGGAGAGTGGTAAGAGAACTGTCCTCAGCACCCTGTTCTTGCTCTATATCTTCCCCCTCAATTATTTCAACCACTACTTAGAACCCAACTTCCATTTTTCAATACTATATCTCCAGCCCTGATGTCTTTCCTAAGTACTAGACTCATATATCTAACTGCCTGTGGGGTATCTCTATTAGGATGCCCCACAGCTATCTCAGTATCAATATGTGTACAGGTGAACTCCCTCCCAAACAGCTTCTCTTTCATTCTCTATCTAAGTCTACAGCATCACTATCTATTTAGTTCCCTGTATCAGAAATCTGGGAATTACCCTAATTTTCTCATCCCTGTCCCTAACAGTCCTATGAATTCTATCAACCAAAGAGCTCTCTACACTCTTCTCTCCATTCTGATGTCCACTGCCTTAGTTTACATATTGAATTACTGTGACATCCCCCTAATGGATCTCCCTGACTCCAGTATCTCTGCTCTTTCCTTGCCATTCCAATTTCTACATTATCTCCTGAATGATCTTTCTACAGAAGTCACTGCTGAACAAGCCAAAACATGAACCCTTTCCATTTAAGACTAATAATTTAAAATACACAAACTGAAATGGAAAAAAAAAAAAGATAACATTTTAAAAAAAGAGATATTTGAAGAGGGATACTGAAAGTAGATTAGTTTGTTCATTATTCTCTATATTATTGATCATGCATTCCTGTGGAATTCTTGCTCTCTACAGTTTTCTGCTCTTCATTACTTTGTCTGTAAATTCTTGTTGCTGTGGTTTCTCTGGACTCAATAATATCCATCTCTTCAACCTATGTAATCTCTTGTGTTCCACATTCCTTTGTCATTCCATGGAAACTATCAGTAGGCACTAAGCTGAGAGAACGGTAGAGCTCAAATTGTTTCCCATTTCTCAGAGACCATTGTCGTTCACTCTCTGATGTCCAACGTCCTCTGAACTGTTGGTTAAATATTTTCTTTTATTTATTTTTTCCCCACTTGGGAGGATAAATTGAGCCTCTTTTCTGTATGTGCCAGAAACAGAAATCATCCAAATGTCAAACTTTTGAAGTTACTCTTTGAGGACCTTTACTTAATAAAGTTTATTAGTCTCAAAAAAATAAATAAATAAATAAATAAAAAGAGAGCTAAAATAGTGGGATTTAAAACTCTGGGATTTAACCACCTTCTTAAGTAATATTTTGATGCCTGGTACATTATTTTTTCTATCTGACACAAGACTCTTAGAGAAGAAATGTCATCTATTTCAATGTCGTTCATAGAACAAAACATAATTCCCATATAATAAATAGTGAATTTCTGATTTTTTTCAAATAGAAAAATAAATTAAAACCCAAAATGAGTGTATCTCTGCATGGCCAGTACCTTCAGTGCATAAATGATGGCACAGAAAAGAGAATGAAGAGAGTTAAATTAGAAAGGTAGACTAAAGTGAGATTCTAATATTAGGCCAAGGAGTATGTCACAGGAAGCAATCAAATATTTTTAAGCTTGAAAGTAGCATAATACTAGGAAAGATTAGGAGTTAGAAAGAGATTAAAGTTAGGGAGATTATTTAGGAGGCAATGCGGGCATTCTGTAAATGGGAATGGATGTCAATAGAAGTTTCTCAGGTAGTAGCAACAAGACTTGGGGACCGATTTGCTATGTTATTAAAGGCAAGTGGTTTTGACAATTTTGAGGTTTCCATACTGAACAGAGGAATATAGGAGGAGAATCATCTCTAGGTGGAAAGGGTGAACATTTGGATTTTGGATATCTTTGGGATATGCAGGAAATATGAGTCTAGACCCGGAGTTGGCAAACTATAGGCCAAATCCTCCCAGCTGCTTATTTTTATACATAAAGTTTTACTGGAATATAGCCATGCTTATTTCTTATTTTTTATGACTGCTTTTAGGCTACAAGTAGTTGGGACAGAGATCTTTTGCCTACAAAGCCTCAAATGATTACTACCTGGCCCTTTACATAAAAAATTTTCTGACCTTTGTATTCCAGTTCAGGAGCGTCTGGAATAGGAGATACAGAATCTTCCTGGCGGCGGCGGCAGCGGGGGGGGGGGGGGGGGGGGGGGGGGGGAAGGGGAGGGGGGAGGAAGGGGGGAGCTTTTTCTGTTCTAGAACATTCCACCTCGGGGAGGGGCGGGGCCCCTGATGTGGAACAAACCATTATGGTGGGGGTGGAGAGTGGGGGATGAAACTTTTTGTTCTTGATTATATTCTCAGTTCTGCCTTTTCTGACCACTCCTGTTGTTTCCTGCCTTCAGAGACTTTCAACAATGTAGTGGGTTCTCTTATGTCCCAGAGTTTGGGAGGAACCTTCCTCACACATTCCCTCCCACCCCCACTGTCTCTGGAAGTTGGAACAGTCCCAGGGTAAAAGCCTCGAGGGTTGGCGTTGAGACTTCCTTTCCTCAGAGCCCCTAGAGGGAGAGAGGTGCACTTTCTCTTTTGGTACGGTAGGCAAGAAAGGTAGGTCCGCTTCTTCTCTAATGCCACCTAGAGAAGAGAGGCCCCGTGAGACGTGTACTATGGCGGGGCAAGCCAGTCGGTGAGGGGGTCTTTATGAGGGTCTGAGTGGGGTGAGGAGGGGCGGGGCAGGGCGGGGCAGGCCGATTGGATGGGAAGAGACTGAGTGGGGAGGGGCTAAAGGGGAGAGGAAAGAGCAACTGGTTGATTCATCCCACAGGGACAGCCAGACCCCTAAGGTGCTCAGTCGTCATGTCCTTGAAACCTGACGACCCCAGTGCTGGGTTCCAGCACAACAATGTGGTGGCCTTCATCAATGAGAAGATGGCCGGGCACACGAAAGGCCCCGAGTTCTACCTCGAGAATATATCCCTGTCCTGGGAGGAGGTAGAGAACAAGCTCAGGGCCATCCTGGAGGACAGTGCGGTGCCCAGCGAGGCCAAAGACGCCTGTGCCTGGAGCAGCCTCGCCCTGGGCGTGCGCTTTGCCCGCAGGCAGAGCCAGTTACACGGGCGCAGGGTGCACTGGCTGCAGAACTTCACCAAACTGCATAAGTCTGCTGCACAGACCTTGGCCTCAGACCTAAAGGAGCTCACAGCACAGCAGGAGATGGAGCGCAAGGAGTCAGTCTTTCGGCTGTGGCAGACACAAGCAAACCTGGCAGAGATGGGAAAGGAAAGGGATCTCCTGAGGTGGAAGGTCTTCCGGGCTGTAAGATTACCTCGATTGGTCCCTGCCCCATCTCCCGGCCCCATTTCCCTGCCCCACACCCTCACTGCCCCCAGAATAGGTCTTAATTCTGCCCACTTCTCTCCAGGAACTGGAGTCTCCGCGGAAGCAGGAGCAGGTCCAGGTTGCAGAGGAGCCAGGCCTGGCCACTGCCAGTGGGGTTGAAACAGAAGGAGCACGTGAGGAGGAGGAGGAGGCAGGGGCTGCTGCTACTTCTGCTACAGCTGCTGGTGCCACAGGAAGAGGAAGAAGAAGTCAAAAGGATGCAGAAGGGGCAGAGGCCACCAAGAAGCTGGGTAGAGGCCCTGTCCACCTTCATGGAGCTGAGGAGCAGAAAAATTACACCTCTGGTGGGCAGAGGGAGGGAGATCTCAGGTCAGTGGAAACAACCGTGTTTTATTTCTCTGGAACCATGAAGCCCGGGTCCAGAGTCACATCATCACCCCTCCCTGTCCAGCTCCCTGCCTCATTCACACATTCCTACTCATGCCCCTCATCCCCCTTCCCACCTGCGCCTGCACCATCCCCACCAGCAGCAACATTCACAGCAGGAGCTCCATCTCAGACATCTCCCCACCGGCAGCCCTCTGATGTTAGCTCGTGGTCTGATGGGGGGTCCCAGGGAACAAACCCTCAAGAATCCCAAAGAGACAGGAGAGACTCTGAACCCCATCAGCAGAGAAGGCCTCCCATATTTCACAGGCCTGGGGATGGGGACTGCCCTTGGTGTAAAGCTGTGAATTGTTCACAGAGGGAAATTTGCTTCCGTTGTGGAAGGGGAATCTGGCTTCAAAGCCCTAAGTGAATTCAGAAATGTGAAATAGAACAGAAAATCCCAAAGAAAAATCAATTTTCAGAGGGAGGGGGAGAGGTAGGGAAGGGATTGGGAAGAGTGGGGGGAAAGGGAGGGTGGGCAAATAGGGCAAGAGGTGGAAAAGTAGGCTGGGAGGTGGGGTACGGGGTGGTGGCTGGGGAGGGTGTAGATTGGGTAGTTGGGGGGTAAAACATAGAGACAGAGACTTATTTTGATGACCCCTTCTGTGTTCCAGAGCATTAGCATTCCACACCCCAGAAGCACCATAGCTTCTTAGTATGTATCTCCCTCTCCAATCCTAGTATCTGGTGGACCTGAGCAGCCATGTATATGGTAACCCACCCCTCTCCCCACCTAGGCTGTATATGATTGGAGCAGGAGTGGACATCTGATCCATAACTGAGCCAAACAGTTTCTCATGCTAGAGAGTCTGAACAGAGAGGCAGATTCCATAGTCAGGGTGGTGTTGCGTAAGGAAACAATGGGTCATTTGGAGTTGGGGCCCTGGTCAGAGTCATGAATGCCGAGGCCACAATCAGGCCTGGTCCTGGCTGTCAGGGAGCAGAACTGTGTGCTTTATAGAAGCCAAGTGTCTTTTAGAGGATGTCAGAATGAGGCCCCAGGGAGCAGACAAGCATAGAGAAACAGCACAGGAGTTGATCCTGCAACCTCAGAGATGGAGAGACTGGTGGCATGACCACTTTTCCACTTCCTGCGATTGTGCTGCATGAAAATACACTCTACACAGATCCCCTTTTCTTTAAGCTAACTTGAGCGGGTTCCTGTTCTGGGCAACCAGATTATTTCCAAGTCAGAAATTGGCACCAGAAGAGCAGCTGCAAACCAAAAACTGTCAAAGAAAATGTCGGAACTGGCTGGGGAGGAGTATCAGAGAGTTATGGGTATAGTGAGGATTCCTGCATCCCAAGAGTGTCCAGGAATGAACTGGACGGGAAGCTTTTTCATGTTCTGATCAAGTTATATTGTGAGAAACGATCAAAACAGGCCTACAGTTAACCCTGGGCTTAAAACACAGCAGAGATTTGCCATCCCTAAGAAAATCCTTTAGGTCTACAAACAGGGGACACCAGCACCAGTTGCAGACAAGGACTGCTATGGCTGTCTAGCTCCACAACAGGAGAACGCTCCCCAGGCCCCAGTGGCAGAACTGGAAACTCCTGCCACTGCCTAAGAGGTGAGTCAGCAACTGATAGTGCCCAGAGTGTTTACTGGTTTAGACCACAGACCAGTGTGGTGCCATCCTGAGGGATTCTCTTTCCCAACCCACCACCAGAATAATAGTGGGAAGGGAATCTGGCTACAAATCCCTCAGTGAATTCAGAAATGTGGAATAGAACATATCCCAAAGGGAAATCAATTTCTAGGGGGAGGGGGTAAATTGGGAAAGGGGGAGGGGAGAGGATGGTCTGTGTCTCCTTTCTTATGACTGTGAGTGGTGTTGAGGGAAGCTAAATGTATGGTTTAGCCCACAGATGGAAAGATGGTGAGGTTTCACACCTGGACCAGACTGACAACTGGAGGAGACTTGGACATTACCTGGGGACTGTGGACCTAGAAACTGAAGCTGTCATGGGCTTGGGACATCTCTGCAGCATCTGGACGTGACTTTGAGGTGTTTCATTTGGGAACAGATACAGATAATTATTTTCAAGATTTGGGGCCAGATCCCTAGGTGGTTATTAAAGGGCCTATACTTGTCAGAAATATCCTTGGACTTGCTTAAATTCCTCTAGGGCAGGGTTTTACCTCAGTACTCTTGATACTTGGGGCTGGATATTTAAGTGTTTCAGGGGACCATCCTGTGCATTTAGGATGTTTGGCAGAATCCCTAGCCTCTACACACTAGATGGCAGTAGCACCTACTCTTCCACTGTGACAACTGAAAATGTTTCCAGATACTATAACGTGTCCACTGGAGGGCAAAATCACCCCTGGTTGGGAACCACGGAAGCAATAAGGTCCTTAGGAGTAGTCAGAACAGGGGGAAGAGAATTATAAGGAGAGCATGCTCAGCAGTGCCCAGGGCTCTAGGGGAGACCCTAAGGAGGAGAAAAAGTGATTTTTGAGCAGATATGGGTAGGGGAGGGGCAGAAACCAAACTGCAAGGACCAGGGGCTAAGTGGGAAGCAAAGAAGTGCAGTCGGTGAGGGAGGCTCTTCAAGGACTCCTGGCTGTGAAGGGTAGGAGTGGGGCAGGATAGATGGCTGAGAGATAACAAGGTTTTTTGAATATGGGAGAACATGAACCATGGAGGAGACAGCTGAAAAAAGCTTGAAAGCACAGGAAATATGTGAAAAAATGGAATAGACCTTATATACTGTTTTGGAGCCATGTCCATTGTACTGTTCAATGAAAAAAAATATGTTTGTATGAAACAAAACCCCCAAATTCTCTAAGTGTACATATGTATATGTATATTATAGATTTACGTGTGCCTTATGTTATAGATTGGTGTTTGAAAAAGCATAGAAAAGTCTGGAAAAACTTTTTCTTTTCAAAAAAATGGAGTAGTGTGGGTCAGTAGGATAGAGGGCTTCTATTTTATATACTTCTGTGTTGCGAAAATAAAATAAATGTTCACAGATAGACAAAAAAAATAAAAGGATGTGAATTTGCTGACTTGAATGGGTTTGGAAAGGCCACCTCTTCCTTTGGGACAGGAGAAGAGGAGAGCAGATACTGATCTATGTGGCAAAAAGATGGAAAATGAAGAGGGTTTCCCCATGTGTCCCTTAGACAAGGCACCCCACAATGAGGACAGAAGGTCTGAGTGGGGGTGAGGGCTACTGGGCAGTGGCATATTTAGGAACTTAGGGGGAGGTGAGGAGTGGGGTGGGGGAGGAAAGTATCATCAAGCTGCACAGAGGATCCAATTAGGATAGGACCCAACTGAAAGAAAACCAAAGGGGAGGGCAATGGGGGAGCCTAGCGGGGCCACTGGAAAGGACATCGAGTAGTTCTAAGAGGCGTACCAGACACAAATCTCTGGTGCTACAACTTGTTTTCATAATTTATTTTTTTCCAGAAAAGATTCAGTTTGTTTGGATTTAGGGTTTCTGTTTGGTAGGATTTAGGAAAAATACTGACATTTTCATGATTTCATGTGTTAACAGCCATCTTAATTTTTTCTCTATATGTCCAGAGGAAAGAATTTAATAAATTAAAATAAATTCCATTTTTATTACTAAATATCCTCAACAAACCCAACAGAGGTAATCTGACTTGGCCTTTGAGCCTTCGGGCTAGCATGCTTAGTGAGATGGGTAGCTAAAGAGTGAGACAGCTTTAAAAATGATGGTGCTGGAAGAAAGACCCAGCTCTAGTGGGCAAGGGAAGGGGATGAAAATTTCACAGGGGCCAATGTCTTGGTCAAAAACAGTGATTTTTACCTCTGTGAAAATGATGATGCTCTCTGGGCTTGCATTTGAGGTAATGGCAGGCAAAGTAGTGAAAGGGAATGACCAGGGAAGGTACCTCTGACCTCCCTCTTTCTACTCTTTCTAATGACCTATCCACACTCTGGGAAGTCAAACTTGGTTACACCTTTCTCTAAAATAATGGAAAATAGGAGGAGTAGGAGACCTGGATTTCCTCTGGTCTCAGGAATTCAGTGGGATAGGGATCAAACCATTCTGAACACCTACAAACTCAACAGGAGATCAAAGAAAAGAATAGCAACAACTGTCTGAACAGAAAAGCGACCACTTTCTGGAAGGTAGGACATGCAGAGACCTGAATTCGAGGCAATATTCAGGAGGATAGACTGCGGGGGAGGGGCCTCTGTCGGCTGATTTTGTCAAGTAATAGTGCCGCGGAGCACAAAATCGGAACTTTCAGAAGTCGGCTCTGCTGAGGGACGTCGCTCCAGTGGATAAGCGGGGGGTGGAACCCTCGTGGGACAGTGTGGTCTCAGGACCCTCGGGGTCACAGAAAGACCAGGGGTGCCTGAGGGCGGCAGAGCTCCCAGGTATCGGAGCGGGGAAGCTGGCTGCAGAGACGGAGCTGAGGAGTGGGCTTTCAGCTCGGGGTTGCAATAAACCATAATCCACGGCACAGTCGGGCCACTGCTCCTCCAGCAGGGACCCAACAAGCAGCAGATCCGGGAGACTCCCCTTCCTCCCCCCGGGAGGAGCGGCACGGAAGCACACCGCAGGGATCTGCTGGGTTTGGAGACTCCACACCGAGTCAGGTGCCAGAGATAGAAATGCTCGGTCACAGGCCGGGTGAACATGGAGTGTGGCCGGAGACCAGGGAGATGGGAGTGACTGACTGCTTTTCTCTGGGGGCGCACTGAGGAGCGGGCCCTGAGTTCTCGGCTCCTCCGGGGCGGAGATTGGGAGGCTGCCATTTTCACTCTCGTCCTCCAAAGCTATACGGAAAGCTTGCAAGGAACAAAAGCTACTGAGAGCAAGCCCGAACAGATTACTTAGCCCTGACGGGGCAAGGGTGGGGCAATTCTGCCTCCAGCAAAGACATTTGGGAACCACGGCAACAGGCCCTTCCCCCAGAAGATCAGCAAGAACCAATGGCCAAGACCAAGTTTACCGATCAATGAGAACGGCAGAACTCCAGTGCTAGGGGAATACTGCACATAGAATCCATGGCTTTTTTACCATGATTCTTTACTCTTTAAAAGTCAATTTTTTTTAACTGTCTTTTTTTCTTTTTTGAATTTTTCTTTTCCCCTTTTTCAACCAACATCTTATCAATCCCTTTTTTAAAAAATATTTTTATTTTTCATTTTTAGAGTCATATTCTATCCCTTCATAGCAGTTACCCTTATTTTTGGCATATTTTATATATATATATATATATATATATATGTTGTTCTCTCTTTAAAATTTTGAGATACTTTCTTCTAACAGATCAAAATATACCCTAAAACTCTACTGTATGGTTTTGTTCTACTCTCCTGCCTGATCACATTCCCTCCTTTTTTCTTTTTTTTTTAAATCCTCTTCTTTCTTTTT